TATATATATATATATATATATATATATATATATATATATATATATATATATATATATATATACACACACAAGTAACGCGAGTTACGTAATCAGATTACTTGTTAAAGTAACTAGTAAAGTAACACATTACTTTTTAATTCAGAAGGAAATCTGAGTTACTTTTTCAAATAAGTAACTCGTTACTCTGTTTTCCATGTATTGACTGACAGCTCTGACATATTGCCATGTTGAGAGAAATCTGGAGTAAGTGCAGAGGCGTTGTGTGTGCTGTGTGAACATGATGCTCACTGTAGTTCTAGACTAAATATGAACATGTATTTACTCATCTCACCTGCACAAAAACAGATTCAGCATTCCTCAAAATCAATAAAAATAATCAAATGCAAACTCAGAATATTATACAAACCTGCAATAATGAAATATGTTAAATAAAACAAATATAATTTATGTATTTCATCCCATTTTATTAACCAATGTCTTTGCTGCTGACCTTCGATGATCCAGTTCAACCATACTAAGCAAAAATTACATATTTGTTAAATTTTTGTTATTGCTGAATAGTGTTTAACTTTCTTCTCCTGCGTCATATTCTTCATGCAATTTGTTTGAGCTGCTCCCTCTACTGTAGAGACGTGAATTTATATTTCCTTCAGCCTGAGGCGTATTCATTTATTTTTTTTTGTTGTGAAAGGGCTTTTACATTTGTAAAAAAAAAAAAAACTTTTTTAGATAAAAAAACAAACAAGCAAACCCTGACCAGATTTAAAAAGTAACTCTAAAGTAACGTAACACATTACTTTCCATAAAAAGTAACTAAGTAACGTAATTAGTTACTTTTTTATGGAGTAACGCAATCAAAGTAACTTTTCAAAGTAACTTTCCCCAACACTGTATATATATATATATATATATATTATTTTTTTTTTTTTTTTTCCTTGTTGGACTGATAGGATAGGATCACATTATTATCTTTGTTAGTTTACTTTTTAGACAGAAATGTAAAACCAAGTAAACAGTGGAAAAAAGCTTTATTGTGTCAATATTTCATTTCACAAACCTTGTAAATCCAGCTGTTCTGATCTATTGAAGTGGGCATTGTAGCCTGCATAAAATGTGTGTACTCTGTGCATGACGGTCTGTCTGTGCAAATTGGATGTGGATATGATTGACAATCTTTAAGTCCTTGATATCAAACTATGCTGCGCTATATCTAGTGGTCTGTTATTATATGTTCATGCCACATTCACTGTGCATTGTATATAAATTAGCGTATCTTGGTATTTTATTTTTTTAGAAAATATGGTTTCCAGTGCACACACTTAAAAGATTTCTGCAGCTGTAACCTGCAGAAATATGTTAAGTCTGTGTGCACTGGGAATCATATTTTCTCAACAACAAAAAAAAAGACCAGGATACGCTAATTTGTGTTGCTTTCTTCCTTTTTAGTCATGCTTTTTAACATGTTTATTTTTTGTGGATAATAATATTAAAAATAATAATAGGAATGTGCGCCAAAATCATCACAATTAAAAGAACCAAAGACTTAAACTACTTCAGTCTGTGTGCATTGAATTTATTTAATACACGAGTTGAATTACTGAAATAAATGAACTTTTCCATGACATTCTAATTTATTGAGATGCACCGGTATATATATATATAAAATTACTTTAAAATAATTTTTTCATACTTGTCGATTTTTTTTTTTTGTTTGTTTATTATACTGCATATATCGACTGAACTGCTCTCTAAGATATCGACATCTGTCGTCAAAAACTCCTTATTGCTCAACCTCAATCTTTTAGTCCCTAGTGTAAGTATTTTTTTAACATTTGCTTTTTTTGCTGCTTTCTCTCAAGGACAGTTGTGCTACCTCATATTCCTCGCTGGAGTCGAGTCATGAGAGCTTCACTTTTGTTGCTCCAGGGAGAGTTAGGGATGCACCTTCACTTCGGCCTAAATCAAGCCGTGCACATCCCAATCCTGGCAGTGAACGTTTTTCTTGCTGTTTCCGACAGCTCCAGATACCTGTAGCTGCAGCACAGGCAGGCTTGCTGGTCAGACGCTTACCAAGCTGTCAGAGTGCTGTGGAACATGCTTTATAAACAATTACCACACCATCTGCACTGTCAGTGAGCTGTTTAGCATTAGCGTCTCAGTTTCTCTCCCACTCTCACTCTCTCTCTCTCTCTTTGTGCATCTCTCTCTTTTTTGTGCTTCTTATTTTTCCTCTTTCTTCTCAATTCATCCAAGCCATGGGTTAATGAAGAGGAGGTTAGGAGAGCAGCATGGATTGTTTGTTTGTATGACTTTCTTCGTTTTGATCTTGTTAAGGCCTGGAGCTGTGATGTTTTTTCATCATGGAAGTATCACAGCTTGAGCGAGCGCTTGTGTACATCTGAACAACAAAACACACTTTTATGAGTTTATTTCAGAGAAGCTCTTACACCATGGCCAGAGGTATTATTGAAACACCGGTAGGAAGAGAAAAAAAAATTTGTTCTCAAAGAAAACAAGTTCAGAACGTGGACACAGTGGTGCAGTAAATGGAAATAATTGATTTATTTGTTCATTGCAAGTCATTTTTGTTTATTGAAGAAGATTGTTTTCTCTTCTGCTCCACAGGTACATCAGTAACGAGAGTAACTGCAACCGACGCGGACGATCCAGTGTATGGAAACAGTGCCAGACTGGTCTACAGCATTCTGGAAGGCCAACCTTATTTCTCCATCGACCAAACCACTGGTAAGTTAATCAATCCACAATGTCCAGATGGTCATGAATCATTCAAATGATTCAACAAGCTTATTATTATGCTTAGAAATAGGTGTAAGACGAATGTCCCTTCATGTACCAAGACGAGTTTTAGGTGTTAGATCATTTATTATTATTGTAATCATTGCTATCATGATCATCATTACAGGAGGCAGGACATAAATATTAGAGAAAGACCAAATAAACAAGATAATTTTACCTGAAGGACACATGCAGATGCTGATTTTGTTCTGTAATAGCGCACAAAGCAATTTGCTGCTTCTGATTTAAATGACAGGGCTATCTTTGAATTCCGTCTGCATTCTGCTTCCTTTTCAACCTTGACTTTGTTTTTTCCCTAATTGCATTTTCAGCTGACTTGTTAACAGTGTGTCTGTAAGCAACATGATTAAATAATGGTGAAATTACATTAATAAGCAATGAGATGGAAATGAACAGTGCGTAATTTGGAAAAACAACAGACAATAAACAAGTCCTGTATCTGTCCAAATTGCATGTGCATATTAAATGAACAGACTTTAAATATCAGTACTTTTTTTCTTATGAGAACACCTTGTGCACTTCATAACCCCGTGCATTTCAATCACTCACTGTCAGCTTTGTCTAAGAATGCAAATGGTCGAGAGAAGGTGCGAAAGCCCAAATTGAGGTGCCGCGTGCGTGGTTTGCGTGATTACTGAACACATGCAGATGGCTTATTCAAGTGAGCCAGATGTTTTAATGAATGTTAATGAAAAATAAGAGGTAAAGGGAAAACAACCATTAGAAACCATTTGACACTTCCAACACCTCGTAGGAAATGAGACACACTTGATAAATAAGTAAACATCATGCACCAATTCATTACTTGGTTAATGGCTTGCAAAGAGAAAAAACAACATAAATAAATATATGAAAGGAAAGTAAACCTCCAAATACCAATGGAAATGACTGTTTGTGTTGCCTCGCTTCTGTGATCATCAGGAATTAATTTGAATAGATAATCATAAATCAGGATGACAATAGAATGAGTATTGCAGTGTGCATCAGATTCAGCATTGCACTGCATGTGGCGCACACACACAGCTGCATCCAGCACTCAGGGAGGCCTGCGTTTCTATATTCCTATTGACAATCAGAGCACTTCACCTCTAAAGATGCACCTCCTTAGTTCACTGAAATTATCGTGGTCTGTTGGTCTCCATGACAGAACAAGAAACAAAGACATGTAAGTGCAGCATAAAAAAGTCTAGCAGACAATGTATGCGCGCTGTGAATTATTCATGCGTAATGGAACCGGAGCTGGCCCTACAACACTCTTACCTTTCTTCCTGTAGAATGCCTTTGTTTCCTTAGTTCTTTACTTCTATTATTTGCCAATCTCTTTAATGTAGTTGCTTCTTATTATAGTTTTCGTTTCTTTATACAAAAACCTCATTGATTGTGTAAGATTACAAATCTATGAAGATTCTCAGTCATCCAGATGATTGTAAAAATGTTTCTATTTATCAAATATATTTTGTCATTTCTCCAAGTGACTTCATCAGGATGAGGGTGATTTCCCAGGATTTAAGCTTGTTGTACATCATAGCGTCATAAGACTCGCAAATTGCAGTGGGAATCGCCTCCACAATGGTAAAAACGTGGTAGTAGTGTGAATTGGGATGAAACGTCTGGGGTAAAGATGAAAGGATAGTGTTAAAAGGATAGTGTTAAATCTTAATCTACACCCAATGAAACCATGCAAAGCATCTACAATAAATAGGAAAAATAAGTCTGGATGCTTTAAAAAATATTTATCAGCATTATAAGCTAATAAATAAATAAATAAATGTGTCATAGCTTTTTTTTAAATACAGAATACATTTAATTTTATGATACTTTGGGTTTTATTGTTTGAGTAGATTACCTGTGGGTTTTTTGGGGTTGTATTTATTTATTTATAAATCAATGATGGTGCATATAGTATTAAAGATTGAAAGAGACAGACAGCATAATTCGCATTCAGTCAGAATATAAACGACTCCAGGTGCTGGGACAAATCCTCAGCAAACAAACAAGCTAATTTGCAATGCCAAATGAAAGCAGCCCAGGCAATGCGTAGCACACACTAAACTGGTCGGGGTGTCAAGGACAAGGGAAGAGCTAACAGATTTTGCAAACTGCAAACCTCAGAATGGCATGTTTATTTAGACCTTGTTCAATTTGAATAGCTTATTCTTATGTATTTATTTTTCATATCAAAAATAATTAAATGAGAGATAGTTTCAGTGCATTCTTTTGTTGTTTTGTTCTTTATAATACTGAATTATTATATGTAAATTCATGTATTTATTGTTATTGATATAGCAATCATTAGGGTGGCTCTGGCAGGGATGGATCGTGAAATGAGGGAAGAGTATCTTGTTGTCATTCAAGCAAAAGACATGGGAGGTCACATGGGTGGGTTGTCAGGAACCACCACTGTGACAGTCACTCTTACTGATATCAACGATAACCCACCAAAGTTCTCAAAGGGTAAGGGAGACCCTCTTTTATTGACTATATAAAATACTATATGCTACAGTTCAAAAGTTTGGGGTCAGTAATAATTATTTTTTAAATTAATGCATTTAATCAGCAAGGATGCATTAATAAATCAAAATTGACAATCAGCTGCCGCTGATCACAGCGTGAGCATAAAAAGGCAGCCGGTGCAACGCATACCAGCTTTTCGTTTCGGAGCCGAGCGACAACATAGTTCTACTCCTACCAAACTGCTTTGTGTGTGACGAGTCTAGCGTGCTCTCGGGAGCTTTTTGTGTTGGTGGACGGCACTTCAGTGATGGTCGTTCCTGTGTTGAGTGGGTTGCGCACTTCAGGCTGCACTACCCCCTTTCATGCTGCAAGCGACCATTTCCCCTTTGCGTCTCAGCACGTAAAAGAGCATTTCCCTAAAAGAGCCAATTTCTCTAAAAGAGTACAATAAGTAGGTGCGTCTTTGTAAAGAAAACAGATCGTCTTTTTAAAGATGCAGTTTCACCAATGCGTTTCTGCCGAGTGATGGTCACGTTCGCTGCCTCACGTGTTTGGGCATTAAACATGCTGAGGTGTCTTTCGCGGATGAGTCATGTTCCCATTGCGGGAATCATCTATCTCGGAGCTGCGGGCCAGGCTCCGTTTCCTCCATCGCTCCTCTAGTGCTTTGCAAACCAGTTGAGCCGCCAAAGGAGCGCGCTGGGCCCTCTTCAAAGAGCGTACCAGCAGTATCCTTCGGTGCTCCTCCCGATGACCAGATGTCGATCACTGCATTGGAGGTAGAGCTCTCTGGAGAGGAAGATTCGGCTGGGCTGCCACCCTCCGGGACGGTGGCAAGGCCTGAATCGGATCCAGAGATGTCAGCTATGCTTTCCCGGGACGCCGAGAGGGTAGGGCTTGAGTGGAAACTTCCACCCTGGCCTGTTCGGCGATGCTTATATGGCCTGTGGAGAAGCTGTCTCCGCCTTACACGCTACGGCGTTACTGCAGGTTCATCAGGCCAAGGCACTGAGGGACCTGCACAAGGGTGGTCATGATTCGGAAGTTCTGAAAGAGCTCCTAACTGCTACTGACCTCACGCTCCGAGCGACGAAGGTCACCGCAAGTTCTCTGGGTCGTGCGATGTCCACACTTATGGTCCAGGAGCGCCATCTCTGGCTGTGTCTGGTTGATATGAGGGATGCCAACAAAGTTTGGTTCCTTAATGCCCCTGTGTCCCAGACCGGCCTCTGTACCAGCAGTATCCTTCAGTGCTCCTCCCGGCGACGCGGTCGAGAACTTGGCCCAGCAGCTCTCGGCTGCACAGAAGCAGACCGACGTGTCTTCACGTAAGTTGCGGAGGCAGCCCTTGTTCCCCTGAGAGAATAGGGCATTCACATTCCCAAACCCGGCGTCCCCCCAAGTTCAGTGGCATCCACTTCACGATAGTGAAGGCGGCCGATGCTCCTGTCTTGCGTGTGGAGATCGCAGTCCTACTGACGAAGGATGCGTACGAGCATATCAGTACGAAGTCCTGCCCTCCGGGCTGTGCTTGTCGCCCCGTGTCTTCACGTAAGTTGCGGAGGCAGCCCTTGTTCCCCTGAGAGAATAGGGCATTCACATTCCCAAACCTTCACCCTGTGGTCAGACCTTGCATTCCTCCAGGCAGGAGTGCCCCTAGAACAGGTTTCCAGGCATGCTGTGGTTTATACGGATGCCTCCACCACTGGCTGGGGGGTAATGTACAATGGGCACGCAGTGTCAGAGGTGTGTAGACGGGCCCCCAACTGCACTGGCATGTCAATTGCGTAGAGTTGTTAGCGGTGCGCCTTGCCTTGAACCGTCTCAAAGGGCGCTTACGAGGCAAGCACGTGCTGGTCCGAACGGACAACACGGTGTACATCAACCGACAAGGTGGTCTACGCTCCCGTCGGATGTCGCAACTCGCCCGCCACCTCCTCTTTTGGAGTTGGAAGGTTCTGAGGTCACTTCGTGCCATTCACATTCCGGGTCTGCTCAACCGTGTGGCCGACGAGCTGTCACGAGCTACGCTCCCGGGAAAATGGAGACTCCATCCCCAGACGGTCCAGCTGATTTGGAGACATTTCGGAGCCGCTCAGGTAAACCTGTTTGCCTCTCCAGAAACCTCTCACTGCCAGTTGTTCTACAGTTCTACTTGTTCTACAGCTGGCACACAGCTGGCCGCGGAGCCTGCCCAAGTATGCGTTTTCCCCAGTAAGCCTTCTCGCACAGACGCTGTACAAGGTCAGGGAGGACGAAGAGCAGGTCCTGCTTGTGGTGCCATATTGGCCCATTCGGACCTGGTTCACGCAACTAATGCTCCTCGCGACAGCCCCTCCCTGGCAGATCCCTCTGAGGAAGGATCTACTGACTCAGAGATGGGGCACACGTTCAAACCATCACTTCGGCAAGAGCACCGTCTACGAGACACAATTACGCCTTGAAGTGGAACCTGTTCGTCGAGTGGTGTTCTTCTCGTTTAAATCCTCCCCGGCCCCTCTCCATACCCTCTTGGGACCTGTCTCTGGTGCTTAAAACACTACAGCAGGGCCCATTTGAGCATTTGCAGTCAGTCGAGCTAAAGTTTCTTTCAATAAAAACTCTGCTCCTGATTGCATTGGCCTCCATCAAGAGGGAAAGGGACCTGCACGCATTTTCGGTCGACGATTCGTGCCTAGAGTTTGGGCCGGCTGACTCCCAGGTAATCCTGAGGCCCCGGCCCGGCTATGTGCCCAAGGTTCCCACTACTCCCTTCAGGGATCAGGTGGTGAGCCTGCAAGCGCTGCCCCTGGAGGAGGCAGGCCCAGCCCTAGCTTTGCTCTGTCCCGTCCGAGCCTTGAGATGCTAAGTAGACCGGACACAAAGCTTTAGGACCTCAGACCAGCTCTTTGTCTGCTACAGAGGCTGGCAGAAGGGAATGCCGTCTCTAAGCAGAGGATGGTCCACTAAATTGTGGATTCCATCACCCTGGCTTATCAGGCAGAGGGTGTGCCCTGCCCGCTCAGGTTGCGAGCTCACTCTACTAGAAGTGTTGCATCCTCCTGGGCGCTGGCACGTGGCGCCTCGCTGACAGACATTTGTAGAGCTGCGGGCTGGGCGACCCCCAACACGTTTGCTAGTTTCTATAGCCTTCATGTGGAGCCGGTATCTTCCTGTGTTCTCACCTCAAATGGGTAGAGGCACTGAGGCTCTAGTTTAGCATCGGCTTGCTAAAACTGCTCCAGAGTGTCCGTACTGTAGACTCTGTCGAGCTCCTCCGTCCCCTCGGCCATGCATGGCGGAACGTCCGGTGCCAGGCCCTCACTCGCTGAATCCGTTAGAACCGGTAGAGGGCTGGGTTCCATATGTAGAGACCTAAGCGGATCCCATATTTGTAAAGTCCATGGTATAGCCTCAAAGCCTGTGTTTCCCCGGCAGACTTCTGCCATTTCCATGAGGGTTACAATCACCTCTAATCTTCCATATGCACCTAAACGGATGCCGCAGTTGGCTTGCACAGGACACTGGAAGGGGCAGCATCCATGGCGCTTTGGTAGGGATCCCAATTTGTCGGTCACCGACGTAACTCGGAGTGACCGACTGAAAAGGAACATCTCGGTTACGTGTGTAACTCTCGTTCCCTGAAGGAGGAAACGGAGACGTCACGTCCCGTTGCCACGTTTGCTGTACCACCGCTGAGCGGCTGGGTCACCAGCTCGGCTCCTCAGCAAAAACCTAGTATGCGTTGCACCGGCTGCCTTTTTATGGTCTTTTAATAACTTAGTTATTTTTGATTCCAACATTCACTAATGCGTTATTTAAATCAAAAGTTAAATCACAAAAGTTGTATTAATGTTATTTAATGGACGGGAGCTAACATGGACTAACAATGACAAGATATATTTTATTAACATTAACAAAGATTAAATATACTGTAACAATGTATTGCTCATTGTTAGTTAATGCATTAAATATGGTTAACAAATGGAACCGTATTGTAAAGTGTTACCCAAATTTATATTTCTTTGTAAGTTCTTTCATTCATCAAATAATTCTGAAATAATGTCATTATTTCTGAAAACAAATTTTTGTTGTTGTTTCTCTGAGTGCTATTTGTCACCTGATAGACCAGATCTTCTGTGTTCTTGTACTTCATATCTAAAGGCTCTTATGAGTTCACTATTGCTGAGGATCTTGGCATCGGGGAACCTGGAGGAAGAGTAAAAGCGAATGACAGAGACATCGGGGAAAATGCTAAATCAACTTACAGCATCATAGGTGGAGACGAGAGGGATGTCTTTGAGATTGTCACTGATGCTCAGACACAGGAGGGAATCCTCAGACTCAAGAAGGTAAGACCAGAAAAGTAGGCTTAAAGTGCCATAGGGACTCTCTAACAGTTGTCTGTTACAGGATCATCACTGGGCTGCATATTATGAAAAATATGAAAAGTGGCTCATTACCGTTGACAAATGGCTGTTAATATTGCAGAGACAGAACCTCTTAGTATGTATTCCAGGGGTCAGAAACCTATTTGACACGGTGTGCCATTTTAAATGTAATTTCAAACACTGTGCCATACCCTCCAAAAAGAAATAATTAATCATGCAAATTAATTAATTATGCAAATTACCACCTTAGTGTTCAGTGTTTTACAATTTTTTTAATGTTGGCTACATAATTTTCACTGGTGTTGTTGTGTTTGTTGTTCCCAATGAGTTATGTGTCATGTGGTGATAAGTTGAGTGCATCTTTTTGTATAATTATATAGTTGTTAGAGTCACAGTCATTCTGCTTTGGGTAGTGAATAGATTGTGTAGGTCTGGTTGTAAAACTCAAAACAGATAGCAGTAACTTTTTTTTATTTGTTTAGCAAAAAGCAACAAATACAAATCATCTGATCAAATAGTAAAAAAAATAGTGTTTGGCTTCCCATTCAGCTCGTAACAAAATAATACAGTTTACCGGTTGCAATAATTACAGTAGATTGACATGCCAGTGCAAGCAGTTAAGTATTTTTAAAATACACACCTAAAATAAAATAAATTTAGTAAATGGGTAAAGTGTCTGACCCCTGCTGGGTACTCTCTTTTTGCAATAACTAGATTTTCTTAGAGATATATATTTTTTTGTTTTACAACAGCTGAAAATGCACTTAAGAGTCCTTGTACACCTAAAATTGGAAGTAAAACTGCAGTCCAGGTGTTCTGAGGTTTAAGAACTACTGTAAGTCTGAACCCCTTGACTTTCTGTGCTCAATTCTCAGCTCTTGTGTAGCAGCGTATATTTGCATATGGAATGTCCATTGTATGCAAATGAAGAACCCTTCATGGTGGATGAGAGGACAATGAAGCCCTTTTATCTTACAGGAGCATCTACAGTGCAACTGTGCAGCAACAATTCTGCACAAACAATGTGACGAAAATGTTCACGATAAATTTGTCATTTGTTTCCCATTACATATCTAACATATACCATGTTAAAAGTGTAAATGATGACTATGCACTTTATGATGTGAACAACATAATGAGTGTCATGTGGGAATTAGTCTCGAGGACTTAGGCATGATCTCTATTAATATGAAGAATTATACCAGAATTAAACAAATGATGTGTCTTAAATCATCTGCATTATTCAACAGTTTGATACATCATCCTCAACCACAGTTCTCCGTAATCTGTTGTGTGTATTTTAGATATAAAAACACATTTGGCTTTATTTTGTGCAACACACTTAAAAGCAACATTTAAAAGCTCTAGAATTAATAAATAAATAACAAAAATGAATATAGTAATAGTAATTAGAGGTGTAATGGTACACAAAAAAATTATGATTCGGAATGTATCTCAATTTGGAAATTAGGATTTGGTATGTTTTTTGGTACAGCAGGGGATTTTTTTTATATTAGAAAGTTTTACTGAACAATAGTCTGTTGTTACAGCTGCAACACTCTTCATGCTGCAGTTTATGGTGCTGTCGTAAATGGGGGAGATTTGAAGTTTTGGATGCAAAATATTTTAGCAAAACATATATTTAAGTCAGAATGTGCTGCCGCTCATTCAGTGAAGTCTGTGATATCTAATGCTTTATATAAAGCATATTTTATAAGACATTTTTCCCACAGCAGCTCACTCTATGTCCTGCTTTTCATTTTCAGATGCATTTGCAACATCAAAGTATGTCGAAATGAAATGTATTGATCTAAATCTAAATCTCATTTGAAAATATATTGATATACCTTACAAACAGAAGTTAATTTCATACACACAGTACTTGTGCACATGTAGTGGTTAAAACAATGCTGAATGTATTCGGTACGCATGCATACTGAACTGGAAGACCCATCCAAAAATGTTTGGTACAAATATGTAAATTCTAACATTGAAAGAAAGGGAAGAAAATGTAGAGACAAAGCGAGAAATAAAAAAAGCAGTCATTTGGTTTGTCCCAGGTCTCTTACAGCTGAATGCGTAATGGCATGCCTGTTTTTCCCCGTCTTCTCATCCCATAGCACTTGGCCTGGAATCTGTTGTCTGCATTACTAATAGCATGATGGATGGCATTGCATGAGAAAAACAGGCAATCAACAGCCCACTTCCCGCTAACCTCTATACCTCCAGACGGTGCCTGAGTTCAAGAGAGCAGAACAAGCTTGTAAAGCACACAACCCTTATTTTTCCTCTTTTTTTTTTGCACCTGCCACTGCGCACAGATACACATTTTCCCCAGGCACTGGTGCTGAGCCGACGTGCGCCAACTATCATCTGCAGCAAGTTGGCCGATTCAGCCCTCACCAACAGTTAAAATTTGATTTAACTTCTGCTAAGTATTGAATGGTCATGACCAAAAAGCCTTTGTGGCAAGGTTAAACATATTGATCTGAGTGAGATGCCACAGGCTCAGACAGTCAAGATACCACTTTGTTGTAAAAGGATGCATGCTTTCATCCCCCCCTCCCCCTAGGCTGTGGTGGTGTTGGAAGAGGGTTGCTATACTTCTCCCGCTGCTGATCTTTGATGCTTCTAAATGTCCCTGTAAACATACACACTCACACCATGCTGGGAGTTTTTAGGTGCTTTCAAACAGGCACATATATATGTGGTAAAATCAGGCACAGCCATGTGGTTCAGTATGCGTTCAGGCCACATGAAAGCCTCAAGTGACAGCCGTAGTCATATTCAGGCCTTTCCGCACAATGAGTGCCAAAATGGAGACCCAGAGGGATGCAGAAGTGCCAATCTCACTGTAGAGAGTCAAATGGCATGCATGACTATCAAAAGAATGAGGTGTTGGCATGATATTTTTAGATGGAACAGATTTGCAGTGTCTGAGATGAGAGGAGCTTGTTTCAGTCTTGCCAATATACAAAGCTGCATTTGCATGATGTTTTAAAAAATCTCAACTACAATTAAATGGTAACATTTCAAGCATGTTGCATGGTAAAAGAGAGAACTTTCTTTCTTTCTTTCTTTTCATATGTGCTGTTTTATTTACCATTTTTTTATATTTAAGACATACAACTCTATGAACTGTCACCAAAATTCAATAGTTTCGAACAGCACTGACCTTTTCCAAAGCAAGCAAGGTGCCAGAATGCAGCCTGTTCTGAATTTTACATCCTAGGGAAACTTCTGCTTGTAAAGTCCTACTGAAAGGTGCAGTGTTATTTGCACAACCTAACCATTTTTCCTTTTTTTCCATTTTACAGAGTTTCAGGTGCTACATAGAAATTTAGTTCTGTGTTTTCTTTATTTCGCCGCACTGAAAATTTTATTGTGTTTAGATGCTTTCAATCTTTTAATAGAAATAGTAGTGAAAAAGACAGGAAACTATTGGAAGAGAGAGGACTGATGGGAAGGGTCATACTGTTTCAGAATTCTAGCTTTGAAGGAGCTAAGGAGAGAATGAAGTAAAGGTGCACCAGTCAACTATATCAAGAGCTCTGTATTATGCTGAAGTGTATGAGAGGATGACACAAAAGAAGTACTTTGTGACAGCACATCTGGAGTTTGCCAGAAAGCCTAATAGTGAAAGAAATGAAGTGAAAAAAAGAGATTTATGATTTTTAAAGCATGGTTGGACTCACACAGATACACACAAACAAATCAGTAAAAACACTACCCCTCAAAATATTTTTTTAAAGAACTTAATCACACATTATTATTGTTATTATTATTATTGTTGTTATTGTTGTTATTACAAAAATAAAGGTAAAGACATTAGTATAATTTCAAAATATTTATATTTTTAATAAATGGCTTTCTTATAAACTTTATATTAACCAACGTGCAACATTGCTAATAACAGGAAATGTTTCTTGAGCACAAAATCAGCATAATGGAATGATTTCTGAAGCATTGTGTGACACTGAAGACTTGAGTAGTAATTTTTAATCAGTTTGTTGCTAAGTCAAACTCAGGTTGTTGTTAAATTGTTTAAATTACTAATATAAAGAAATACTTTTGCCATAATGCTGCCCATGCAGCACAAACAATATTTATTTAGTTTTTACATTGTATTTTATTTTATATACAGTGAAATGACAGACAAAGGGTCTCAAGACTAGCGAAGGGTCTGAATACTTTTAAGGAATTTTTTTTTACCTCTTGTGTTTTCCTCTTGACATGAAGCAGCAAGGGAGGGGTGAAAATAAAATGAAATCAATTCCTCCCTATAGCTTTGTGGACTGCAGCAGACAGAGGTACATGGGCTGTTCTCATCCGGGTGCCCTGCTGTCAGCCTCACTGACTTCAAAGCGTGCTGATAGAGGAACTCCAGCTGCTCTTCTCTCCCAGCTGGGGCTGCTCTCGGCCCGGCTCCAGTGTCCGCCTGACCTCCCCTGTGGGACGGAGGCTTTTTTTTTTTGATAACATAAGCAAATTCTTCATTCTACTACCTCAACTAATTCCTATAGCCTGTTTCTTTTTCATGTGTACTTCAGCGGTCAGTTCTAGTTTAGTTTCTGTCAATAAAAGAGCAAAGGGGGGACTTGAGCCATTTTTCGATTTCAAATGAGGTAGAGAGAGATGTGATTCATAACACAATGAAAATACCATGAATTTTTTACTAGATGAAAATATAAAACGGCACTCTGTGTCAAGTTTTCTTCACTGTGGCATGTATGTACACAGGTGGGGTGAACATGGGGCCTTTCCTCTGAAATCACAAATATTTATCCTGGAGTACAAATAATTCCCAAATTGTATTTTATCTGCTACTTCAATAATACCTCACCACTGGATAATTGCCTCGGAGAATACATTAACAATGTTAACGTCATGGTATCGTGGGCAAGGATTAATTTTGTTTTCAGACAACACAAACACACAAATTGTATTTTTCATGATTTCTTAACAATTTGCAATGCAGTCCTTGTGTTTCCATTAGATTAACCTTATTTGCAGCCTCATTTAAATCCCAAACACATGCTGTCTCTGCCACAAATTAATAACACATCCCACGCTCCAGGTGAAAGTGTGGTTATTGCTACTAAATATTATTTTTGTTCACCCTGCTATTGGGCTCGCAGCAGCTTAAATCTTATCCGTTGCAAGGTGGGAGGAAGCCGGTGCAATTACATTCAGTCCTGCAAGCCCAGCAAACTGAGTCTGCTAAAACCAGGAAACCGTTTGTCTTTGTTTTGTGCCCATTAATAATAAACATCTCTCTTTTTCTCTATTTTCCAGCCTCTGGACTTTGAGTCCAAAAAATCCTACAACCTAACAGTGGTGGCGACCAACATACGTGCCGATTCGATTACGGGTGGGCCCTACATGGACCAGGCCACGGTCAAAATCATCGTTGAGGATGCAGATGAACCCCCTGTCTTCACAAAGTTTACTTATCTCTTCGACGTGCATGAAAACGCTGCAATCAACACAGTCATAGGAGCGGTAGCGGCGAGAGACCAGGACGCCCCACACAGCCAAGTCAGGTAAAGGCAATCATTTCTAGCCCATGTGACCTCTGTCGTCCTCCTTGGCGAAATTAGGTAAAAACAACTTCTTCATTAAACCAAGAGAAGATCAAGCTCAAGCTTCTGCATCAATCTAATATCCAAGTGCTCCTTCACCGCGGCATCCTACCAGTCATTAAATGCTGCTGATGAAATTGCCTGTAGAGGTGCATTTGCATTCAGACTAAATGGAGCTCTCACCTCCACAGAATTGGTTGTACTGGGAAAGAGAGAGGGAGAGAGATAGGACAATGACACAATAAGATTCCTCCTCTTCCTCTCACTGATGTATTTCACTTCTGTGACTTCCTACTTGAAAAATTACAAGGGCACCTTCAGTATAGGTTATACAGCCAATTTCTCTCAGCCAAACCTAGCATTCCATTAATTCTCCAGTGACTTGCCATGTTTCAGGGACAACATGCAACAGGTTGTGTAATTACACGGGGAACTGGGAGCAGGGGAGAAATCAGAGATTGGGTTTCAACGCTGCAATGGAGTTTACACCAAGTGAGCGTTCTCATGTGTGTGATATATTTATTCCAGTGCTGTGCAATATATCGAAATAAAATTGTAATGGCTTAGTAGGATTATTTTATTGCAAAGACTGTTTTAATTAAATATATGCACTGTGTTTCAAAGTGAAGTGTGCCGCTGTGTTATTTTATACATAAGCAACTGCTCTGCAGCATTTGTTTTATAGTCATTGAATGGATCAAAATAGTGAGAATGTGGCTTATGATAAACCAAGTATAAAATTGTAAAGAGTGTGAACACCCAATTTCTTACCAAATTGTTCAGCCCTAAAAGGATGGTTAGCATTAAGAGTATGTTTGATTTTTTAATCATTCTTATTTTATATACTGTCAATATTTTATATTCAAGTCCTATTCGAGTTTCATTTGAAAACAGAAATCCAATGTCCATGTCCTCAAAAGTGAATGTCACTCTTTTGCACAAAAGCTGTTTGTCCTACATTGTAGTGTACTTGTTTATGTCACTTTGTATTTCATAGCTATTCTCTTTGGCTGTTGCTTCAAAATATGAGATATAGTAATTTCATAGTGATTTAAATGTTCCAGCTGTGACATCTGTGCATAGTCTGCATTATTACGAAGAAATTCTGTGGCATTTGCTGTTCCCAAGGTGGGATTTTGTTGTTTTTTTCCTTCTTTCTTATATCTTTCCTGGATTGGTCTGACTGGTCTGACATGCAGGCTTTTCATATTGATGCGCTTGTGTTATTTGGAAGATGAATTACTTCTATCCTGAGGCCATTGAGTAGATTGTGTTAAGCTAAACAACACAAGGTTGTTTTAAGCATTAAGAGATGGATTATCTTTTCGAATGTGATCAAATGATTTTTGGCTGTTTGACTTTTTTGCTGAATTTTGAACCATAAAGTGGTAAAGTTGCATGTCTTCCCAAGCAGAGCAGAAGGGTTGAAGTAATTTTAAAAGCTAAAAGCCACTTAGGAAATGAGAAACCAGATTTTAAAAAGATGACTGACTTTATTTGGCAAATAACCCATGCAGAATTTCATAGAGAAATAAGATAACCAGACCTCACCTCAAATGACACAATTTCTGCTTGAATACAGCTAATTGTGCATATCGGTGTGGTTGTCACATCAATAGGAGAAGCAATCAAGGTGAAACAGGTAAGAATTTTTTTTTTTTAAAGTGTAATTGTGGCTTTTAGAGGACTCTGGTTAAATGAAAATGTCAGTTTTAATCGCAGCTTGACATGGAAACAGTAATTCACAGAAACATTATTTCACATCAGTCTGACCTCTCAGACCATTCCTACCTTCAGCCTTCACATCTCTCTCTCTCTCTCTCTATCTCTCTCTCTCTCT